TTGCTGCCAAGGCTTTTTGGACTTTCACCAGACTCTGAAGGAGTTCTTGGTGAGCTATCCGTCTGCCGCCTCTGCTTGCGCCTGAGATGCTTGGCAAGTTCGGGTGGTTCTCACAACTTGGGGCTTCAATGTGGGCACACGCACGCATGCACACAGACACACACACACACACCCACCCACGCACGCACGCACGCACGCACGACGCACGCACGCACGCACGCACGCACACACACACACACACACACACACACACACACACACACACACACACACACACACACACACACACACACACACACACACTCACACACACTCACTCACACTCACTCACACACACATGCACACAGATATGGACGCACACAGAGAGACACGCAAGCACACGTTAACAAACAGAGACACGCGCAGACAGAGACACACAGCGACACACACACACACAAACTCGCACAGAGACACACACTAAGATACATTCTGGGTACTGGGACATAGAGAGAAACACGAAGTCACACAGACACAGAGAAGCACAGAAACGCAAAGACACAACCAGACGGACACCTTCACAAACAGCGAGACATGGAAACACACAGGGACGGATACACACAGGGATGGACACACACGCACATACACACAGAGTCACACCACACGCAAAATTAATACAGACGGGCAGATGCACGTAGACATGCAGAATGCATAGACTGCACAGAAAAAAAAACAACAGCACAAGAACAAATCACACCCACACACACACACAACCGCACACAAGCACACATATGGGGAAGAGAGGAAACTTAGAGAATCCTGACGACGGGCTTAGTGTCGTCGGAGCAAAGTTTGCAACAATGGGCCCTTAACGCAAACGGCACCAAGCTGTTCAAATGGGACGGCAAGCTCGGCTTAATGCGTGAAAAGCAGGTACGTTTTCAGCGGCTCAGGGCATCTTCGTTGGCCGCAGGCCCCCCGGCCGGACTCTGGCCCCCTGTGTGACAGCACAAAACAGCAGGCATGCTCGTGACAGCATGTTCTCGCAAAACAGCAAACAAGCCAAGCAAGCCAAACCAACCAAACCAACCAAACAAACAATCAAACAGTCAAACAGTACAGCAAACCAACAAGCAAACAAACAATCAATCGATCGATCAATCAATCAATCAATCAATCAATCAATCGATCAATCGATCAATCAATCAATCAATCAATCAATCAATCAATCAATCAATCAATCACGCAAACGCACAAACACACAGGCGCGCACACACAGACACACACACACAGCCACACACACACACACCAACACACGCACACACACACACACACACACACACACACACACACACACACACACACACACTCGAACACACGAACACGCTAGCACACCAACACACTAACACATCATCACACTTATACACCACAACACTTACACACCATCAAACAGCACATTAACACATTAACACATCAACAAATTAGCACACTAACATCAAAACTAACATTAACATACACATGAACGCACGCACACATGCACTCGCACGCCCGCATGCTTGCACGCATGCAGGCACGAACGGACGCGCTTACAGACACGCATGCAGACACGCAGGCATGCTTGCACAGACGCCAAATTTTCAGACGGACGGGCTGACACTATAGAAAGGCAGATGCAGACGCCAACAAACAGACATTGTATCGCAGGCACGCACGCGCACATGCGTTGCGTGTAGTAATTTGTGCCGATCGGTTTGGATCGGGCCCAGGCTATGTGGTTCAACGAGGGCAACAACCTGACAGCCACGATGCTGATGTTCCAGGTGCACGGGGCCGCAGGGTGCCACCATGCCCAAGACTTTTGGGAGTCCTTGTTTGTTTTTTGGTTTGGAACCATTATCGCTGTTAAGGTTTCCCCATAGGTTACTAGGCATCACTTGTTGCGCGCAACCTTGTGAATCATACTGTGGGTTGGACGAGGTACGAGTTACTTGGAACTGGGGGCTTGGGCCCCCTCTCTGAAGGTACTTGTGATTGCAGACTGCTTTGAGCTTGGGCTGCGGCTATCGCAAGTAGTCACCTTTCGTCAGGCACGCTTGTCTGAGAGTCCTGAACGGGCGTGTTATCCCACATTCTGAGGCACAACCAATCATGTGCCCCGCAAGCCCCTCCCCTTCAGTGGGGCGAAATTCTCCGAAAGCGGCTTGACCCGGTCCGGAATATAAGGTCTATTTGTCGCCTCCACTGGCCGACAGAAGGACGAGCCATTTACATTTTACCCAGCGTACAGTACTATCGCGAGCATGAGGCATGAACTAGGCTGGCAGCTGAACACATCCAATCTACGGACCTGACGATTCCTTCATTCCAACTCAAGCCAACACGTTGGACGTCGTGGCCACACGGAAGATGTGAGCATCCTCCTTGTTATCGGCACGCGTTGGCCCCTGCCAAATGAGCTTTGTCAAAGGTTGCTAAGGAGGCCACGGAATGGCGATGGTGTCCTTCTGGTAGCCCATTTTAAGGCAACCAAAAGGGGTTGTGAAAAAAGAGACGCCCCAACATATTCGACTCTGTTTGAGAACATCCAGCGCAGGTTCCGATCGTTTTGTTTCAGTGGTGCACCCCGTGAGCATCTCGGTCACCACATTGACATAAACCCAAGAAGCCCAGGTCAGGTGGAATCCCCGACAGCAACCCGTGGGACCCTTCCGGAACACTCGTTCCACCCCTCCAGAACTCTGCCCAGCAACCCTATCGAGCAGCAGTTCCGTAGAACCCCCTGAAAGCCTTCCGAATTTTCCGGAATCTTGCGAACCTTCCGCAACCCTATCCAGCAACCGCATGGAACCCCCCTCCTCCAGTCCGTCCGGAAGCCGCTAGAACCCTCCGGCTATGGCTCCATGACATCCCCACATCCGTCCCAAGTTCCGGAACCGTCCAGAACCCCGGCGACCGCTTCATGGAATCCCAAGCCAAGGAGCCCCGGAAACCTTCCTGAACCCAGCCTCAGAGCTGACATAGCCGTTTTACGAGGATCCCCTTATTCAGAGACAAACCCAAGTAACTTAAGTAGCGTTTTAGAGTCAAACATGTTTACACCATGCGGCCAAACAATCTGAAATGCAGAATGCTTGTTGCAGTGTCAAGTAAGGACCCCGTAGCAAGGGGCAAAAGGCACGCCTAAGGGGCTGCGCTCGAGGTGTCCCCGGCAGATGGCGCAGAAGCCACGCTGGCTGCACGCCAGGAGTGGATGAGCTATGTGCCTTGGCGCGAGTGTTGGGCACAGGACGCGGGTCCAACTCTGGTGTTCTTGTTGGTGCTCCATTTTGTTCCACGTCGTTTTCTCTCTCAATTTGTTGTTGTTTTTTTTGTTTTTTTTTGCGGGGGGGGGGAGGTTTTGAAGTGCGATTGACATAACAGTAATGCTCAGAGGCGAGATTATTTTCAGTCACCCTGCGGGAGCGGCTGTTAGGGGATCCTGCCGGCAGGTCCCTGACAACTTTCCCTGGAGCTACGGCCAACCGCGACCGTACGAGCGGTGTGTGTGTGTGTGTGTGCGTGTGTGTCCGTTGAGATGTTCTTTTTCTGCATGGTTTTAAGAGCCGCCCCTACTTTGACAGAACCCAATACTGTGGATGGGCGACATCCTGCATCACCTAAACAACCCTGAGGTGATGCTTCCCCTGCAAATACCAACAAACGACGGTTTGCTATGGTTTCAAAGTGGTGCGAACGGATTTCGTCCACCCACAGCATCTTGACTGCTGTTGGGTGGTTCTTTAGACTTTAACTTTTTGGGCGATCAAGGCATGTCCCACTAAACCCCCCAAAAAGTTTTTTTTTGTTTTTTGCAGGGGGGTCAACAGCAACCAAGGTATCACATCTAAAAGCGGAGACCTTTTTGGCTGACCGACCCCTTTCAGGTGGATCGCTTGAACGCGGACGCCGCGTCCACTGCCAGCGGAGCTTGGGCACCATCCCCAGCCCGGGGAGGAGGGCAGTGGTCTCCAAGAACTTGGGTCGGTTTTTTGAGAGGCTCGGTATCCTTTCCATCTCTACTCTTGGTATGGTTGCGAAAAACTGTGTTTTTTGCCGACCCCCAGTAAAAATGAACAGAACCAAAAAACTAAAAAACCAAAAACATGCCAAGAACAGTGAAGTCTTTAAGAATTTCTTTGGGGGTTCAGGGGAAATTACCAGGAAACCAACTATTTGGGGGTCATTTTGCGACGTCCACTTAGTGTTTTGTTTAATGATTGAAACAGCAGAACATATGGCGACCCGAATCCCTGAGTCAGCATGGGTCGCATGAAGTGCTCTACATCTCCAAGATACATTCCCCCGCGCGGTTCGAGTTGCTGGACTCAGGGTGGAACTGGATTGCATCGTTCCGTTATTTGGGTCAAGTGGGTGATGAGTATATAAACCAAATTAGGGAACGTGTGCCATTTACTTGTACGCAACCGGACTGTCGCGAAGATCATTCTACTGGTGGGTTTGAACTATTTTTGCCACTGCAAAAAAGGCATTTGGCATTGCAAGCGCAGAACGGCTCATTTGTGGAGGACCCTTACCCCATTTTGACAGCCGTTGGGCAGCACTTTAGTACGACCCCTTTTTAGAGCTCCATGTTAATTGTTCAGATCTGTATCCAGGACTTTCCAGGATGGTGTACGGCATTCTCCCTCATGCGGGCCAGTCACCTCTGTTGGCTCCACCGGTGATTCCGCATCGCATGGCTCAGGGAGTCGCTCGCAGACTCCTGCACTTGGACTCAGTGAAGAAGAGCCAATGACGGAGTTGGGCAAAGTCGGGCAATCCTGATAGTTCCTACTTACAGTTGAGTTTTCGGATGTTATATTTGCAGAAGTTTCCACTGGTGTTGGGAGAGCTGAAAAAACAATGCGCCTTCGCAAGTTGCGGCACACACTGTCACAGGGCGGGTTGCTCGAAGAGACTGATGAATCAAGCTGAGAAGCTGATTTCAGCCCGGCTCTGTTCTTTCAACCGCCAAGTTTGGTTCCCGCCATCCTCAGGCAACCCTGTTTCACACTGACGTCGCCTGCCATGTGGGACTGTTGCCGGCAAGCCACGGCTCCGGCGCCGGTGCACCAGCGGCTCTTCCCCATGTATGTGGTCAAGGCCAGGAAGGGAAAGCCCCCCCACGCGAGGAGTCATACACCTCAAGATGAAGAGGAGGTTCAGTTTGAGAGATCCTTTTCGATCACTTTTGGAGGAAACACCCAATCAACCCTATTTGAACGGGTTATTGGGTCAACATGCATTTGGAATGGATCAACTTGCTTGTTCTTCGCCAAGGTTTGCTGCTGTTACGATCCACCGGTCAAGAGCAGAAACCGTTTAACATACTGTATACACATTCTCGCAAACAAAGCACACACACACACACGCACATTTTCGGGTTTATCCTTCAACCCCTACAAACCCTTCTACAGAAGCTCCCTCTTTCCCCTTTCGGGCTGGGTCAACTCGAATCCAACAATAACCGCGCCCTTGCCATGTAGTCTTCTCGCCCTTTGCATTTGCCACAGGAAAAATATATCAGGTATGCCGGCCTTGTGCCCCAGTGGCGAGAGGACACTGCCCCTGGGGTCATGCAGCAAGTATGCTTGAGTACCTAAGGGTGTCAAGACCCTTGTTCAGACAGGGCGCCAGTTCGTTTGATCCTTTGCTGTCCTGGTCGCGCCATGTCCTCCAAATATACGTAGTCTCGGGATGCGCAACATCCTTTTGAGAGGACCCGGGATGAGCAACATCCTACGCCAGGGTCACGGAAGCCCTTTGGGGATCCCCTCTTTCAAACACACCACCCGGGGGGAAGACAGAAGAATACCAAAAGAGGAGTGATGTGGTGCGGTTGGGGAATGATGGCAGTTGCATGATTGCAAGGTGACTGACTTCCTCAGCATGCAGGCCGTGCCGGAGCCACACGATATCTTGAAAGCCAGGGGCTTGCTGCATGAGTGGGTCCCGGGCATGTTCTCGATGCTCGGCCAAAAATGGATGGGAGACTTTAGGCCGAAGCTGATGTGAGTTTGGGACTTGTGGTTCGAAGATCGGGCTTGAATGTGAGGGTCAGCATTTACTCAATTCGTGGCAAACAGCAATTGACCTCATTCCTGTTGCTGTCTTGCCTTCTCGAGTTTCCATCATTTTCAATGACCCATAAACAATGACTAAGGTAGTGCAACAACAATAAATTATCATACATATATGCACGTCAGTAGGCTATGATGCATGATACTTGACGGAATCACCTCCCCCCAATGCCAAGGTTTCTGTGAACTTGAGGTACTCACAACAAAGTTGTTTCGTTTAATCAACTTGGGCTCGTGCTGTTTTGTATGAGCATTATCTGGCCCCGACACAACTAGACATAATTGATTCATTTGACCTGTGGAAATCAAATCCAGCCAAACATCTAATACTAAGAGTTCTGAGACCAATGGTGTATAGACATATGTTGGCAAATCGCCAGAGGCAACCGAGGGACGTACATGGCATATGGAAAACACACTCTACATGTAAGAGATAGGAGCTTCAACAGGGAAAGGCGTTCTGCGAAATTGGAAGCTCTGTTCACGCAATAAGAGAAAAGGTTTTCAATATGCAGAAACCGTTTGTGCTTTCCTACGGTCAAAAAAAACCTTGGATTTCTGCTGCTTGTGAGTCGTTCTTTGCCTGTTTCCAGACCTCCGACATTTGAGCACTGCCGTCCATGCATCTGCGCAAGCACAAATGATTAAAAGGCTTTGTATCGTTTGGATTGAACATTGAACATTCTCAGGACGTTTTCTTTTTGGGTTAAAGGTCGGTGTTTTTTTTGGAGGGGGGAGCGGTGCTGCCTTCCGGCCCCTCATCCCGTCCCAGCCCCGGTTGCAGCAAACGTTCATTATGTTTGGCCCTCGGTTAACTATGAAGTTTTGACACGCTCGAGCGCCGCACAACGGTGTTCTTGCTGCCCGTGGTTGTTTTGAACAGCGTGGGCAACTCAGGATATTTGTATCTCATCAATGGCAGCCTGGCCGCATTTCATGAGTTTGGCAGCGTGCTGCGCGCGGTGCTTGCCTTGTCGGCGCATGCGGTTTGACTCGGCATCACGGGTGCATGCCTAGCCTTACTCGCCTATGTCCAAGCCGTGGCCTTCATGAAGCCGTCAAGTTGTTGTTTGTTGTCTTCGGGTGCTCGGCACCATGCTGTTCAGCCCCACTGCTTTCTTTTTTCTGTCAAGAATTTCCAGGACCGCATACTGTTCCACCATGTTCCACCCGCTAAGCTACCCAGGAAATTGCTGGAAGACCAGTTTGCTCTGAGGGAAGTTCATGGCACTTGGACCTCTTCCCCAAATGGCCATATCAATGGCTCAACAGGCGTGGTTTGCCTTTTCCACTCTTTGCCCCCCTGGTGGTGCAGAAACCATAGGTGTCCTTTTTGGTTGCTTTGCTTAAGACCTAGAAGGCCCTGGTTTAGCTGGTGGTTCACTCATCTACTAGGGCCATCTATTTTCCAAAAAGCACACTGTCGATGGACGAAATGATGCTTGCCCTGTGAATGCCAACAAACAATGGTTTGCTATGGTTTCAAAGTGGTGCGAAGGGATTTCGTCCACCCACAGTATGGCAGAAACCCTTTTTCCAGGGAGGCGGCTCATCTCTCAGCGGAGAAGGCAACTTGGGTAGACCCAGGATACATTTTACATTCCAGTGACTAGGGAAGAAAACAATCGAATCTGAGTGAATTATAACGACCTCACACGACCTCACCTCAAATGGTGGTTTATGTGGGGAATAGCCCCCCAACCACTAAACAAATCAGTTTGGTGAAATATGATAATTCCCCCAGATAGAATCTTCCTTCTACAACTGGGCCTAAGTCTACTCAGTTCTTCAGTGGTCCCCGTTTTGTTCCTTTTGTTTTTTTTGGTGGCTGCCCCACTAAAATGGTCCAAGCCCAAAAAAGGGTTCCCTTTTTTTCCCAGGGTCGCTGAACTGAGTCGAATCCTGGCAGCGAGCCGAGGCTGGGCTCGAGCCATCCGGACCCAGAGGGCGCGCAGGCGGCGATTCTGCGCCAGGCCTTGCAGCGGATGATCCAAGGCAAGCTGCACGTGGAGGAGGACCTGGTCTCCTACCCGCAGACCAGGCGCGAAGAGAACCAAAAAGGAAACCAGGGCTCCCAACAAAAATGATAGATTTTGCAACCATTTGAAACATGGCCTTTTCCACCAAAAGAAAGGGACACCTCCATTTTCAAGGCAAGGTTCAAATATATAATGTAAGGATCCCTGTTGTACGTCCCCTTCTGCTCATTTGGGATACCCTACCCATTCGTTCGTTCGTGTATGAGTTCATGAGTTCATGAGTTCATTTTGTGCACTATTTCATTTTTGAACTCTTGCGTTCTTGCTTTTTTGATGCGCTCATGCATTCATGCATCCATGTACCCATGCACCCATGCATCCATGCATCCATGCATCCATGCATGCATTCCTTCATCCATCAGCCTGGGTCAGGGCATGCACCCTTCCATACCTCCAAGTCCGTCATCTGAAGGTGTTGCAGAGGCCTTTGGGATCCTTGTGGTGGCCCAAGTGCTTTCTGCCGCCCTGTTTGCGCTTTGGCTGGATCAGAGCCATTGAAAACAAAGAGGTTGCAGCCATTATAGCCATTCAGACCATGAATGGTGACTATTGGGGATGGCTTTGTTCGAGATTCCTGGGCCCAGAGTGCTCCTATGTTGGGATTTGCGGGATAGCACTCGAGAAGAGAGAGGGATCAGCGAGCACACGTGAAGTGTCATGACTTTCGGCACGGCTTCCGCTGCGAGCCGGTTCTGGGCAACGGGGCTGTGCGTTCCAGGCGGCTGTCCAGCAAAGAGCGGCAGCAGATCGCCTCTGGCTACCTCTTCTTCGAGCCTCGGCAAGTGCTTCGAGCTTCGAGCTTCTGATCTCCTGGCGGTATCTTCGAAACCGGTTCATGGACATAGCTTCAGAAGTCCAAACTTAGGACCTTGGCATTTTGGTGCTGCCACCTTTCAGGGGTCAGTCCTGTGTGTTGACAACCCATTTTGTCAGAGATGCCATTTTGTCTATGGCAGACTTGCCTTGGTCCTGCCATTTTGACTTCGACTCGAGCGTACAGTGGTTGCCCACCATCTTGGGCTCAAGTTTGCGGGTGCACATTGGCTTAGATCCCCCAAAAGGGGCGGCCACAAAAGGAGATTTCTCTACACAAGGGTGATGTTCCGTTTGTTTCGTGAAAATGCGTGGTTCCAAAGCCAAGGACACGTGGATCGAGTGTCCCTGGATAGGTCAGGGTGTTCTTTTTTGCCTACCTCGAATGAGTTTTTCCGGTTTCCTGTTGCCGCCATGCCAAGCTCGTCAGCCAAAAGGGGCTTCAGCAAAAGCACCACACTGGCAGCCGAGCCAAGGACTGGTTCGCAATCCCTCAGATCACTGCCAGGCTGCCTGGGGTGAATGAGGCCGGGTGCATCAAAGAAATGCTCGCCTCTGGGGATTTACGTTTCACGGGATTTCAAGGGGGGTGAACAGACCTCACCTGGATGAAGCAGCAGAAGACCGAAGTCGTGAGCAAAAACCGGTTCCAGCAGAAAAACAAAAACTGTTCGATACGCCCCGTGTTCCCTTAGTTTTCCCGTTCCGGGCATCGCAGGGATACCTCGAACGCGCCATTTTGAACCTTTTTCGCCGGTCTCCAGGACCTCACCAGGACGCAGGCGGCCAAAGCGGTGCAGAGCATCCCGGGCTACGTGGAGGTGGCAGACCTCTTCCTGGCGCTGGTTCCGGAGCTCCTCGGCCGGGTTCGGGCGGCCGCAAAAATGGGGGCAAAGCGCAGATGCCCTTCTGCTCTGCTGGTGGCATTTAAGCCTTCTGCCGGTGGTATTTAAGCCTTCTGCTGGTGGTATTTAAGCCTTCTGCTTCTGCTGGTGGCATTTAAGCCTTCTGCCGGTGGTATTTAAGCCTTCTGCTGGTGGTATTTAAGCCTTCTGCCGGTGGTATTTAAGCCTTCCGCTGGTGGTATTTTTAAGCCTTCTGCTGGTGGTATTTAAGCCTTCTGCTGGTGGCATTTAAGCCTTCTGCCGGTGGTATTTAAGCCTTCTGCCGGTGGTATTTAAGCCTTCTGCTGGTGGTATTTAAGCCTCCTGCTGGTGGTATTTAAATTAAGCCTTCTGCCGGTGGTATTTAAGCCTTCTGCCGGTGGTATTTAAGCCTTCTGCTGGTGGTATTTAAGCCTTCTGCTGGTGTTATTTAAGCCTTCTGCCGGTGGCATTTAAGCCTTCTGCCGGTTGTATTTAAGCCTTCTGCTGGTGGTATTTAAGCCTTCTGCTGGTGGTATTTAAGCCTTCTGCTGGTGGCATTCAAGCCTTCTGCCGGTGGTATTTAAGCCTTCTGCTGGTGGTATTTAAGCCTTCTGCTGGTGGTATTTAAGCCTTCTGCTGGTGGTATTTAAGCCTTCTGCCGGTGGTATTTAAGCCTTCTGCTGGTGGTATTTAAGCCTTCAGCTGGTGGTATTTAAGCCTTCTGCCGGTGGTATTTAAGCCTTCTGCTGGTGGTATTTAAGCCTTCTGCTGGTGGCATTTAAGCCTTCTGCTGGTGTTATTTAAGCCTTCTGCTGGTGGTATTTAAGCCTTCTGCTGGTGGTATTTAAGCCTTCTGCTGGTGGTATTTAAGCCTTCTGCTGGTGGTATTTAAGCCTTCTGCTGGTGTTATTTAAGCCTTCTGCTGGTCGTATTTAAGCCTTCTGCTGGTGGTGTTTGAGCCTTCTGCTGGTGGTATTCCAGCCTTTTGCTGGTGCTAGCCTTCCACTGGTGGTATTTAAGCCTTCTGCTGGTGGTATTTAAGCCTTCTGCTGGTGGCATTTACGCCTTCCGCTGGTGTTATTTAAGCCTTCTGCTGGTGGTATTTAAGCCTTTCTGCTGGTGGTATTTATGCCTTCTGCTGGTGGCATTTAAGCCTTCTGCTGGTGGTATTTAAGCCTTCTGCTGGTGGTGTTTGAGCCTTCTGCTGGTGGTATTTAAGCCTCCTGCTGGTGGTAGCCTTCCACTGGTGGTATTTAAGCCTTCTGCTGGTGGTATTTAAGCCTTCCGCTGGTGGCATTTAAGCCTTCCGCTGGTGGTATTTAAGACTTCTGCTGGTGGTATTTAAGCCTTCTGCTGGTGGTATTTAAGACTTCTGCTGGTGGTATTTAAGCCTTCTGCTGGTGGTATTTAAGCCTTCTGCTGGTGGTATTTAAGCCTTCTGCTGGTGGTATTTAAGCCTTCTGCTGGTGGTATTTAAGCCTTCTGCTGGTGGCATTTAAGCCTTCTGCTGGTGGTATTTTAGCCTTCTGCCGGTGGTATTTAAGCCTTCTGCTGGTGGCATTTAAGCCTTCTGCTGGTGGTATTTAAGCCTCCTGCTGGTGGTATTTAAGCCTTCTGCTGGTGGTATTTAAACCTTCTGCTGGTGGTATTTAAGCCTTCTGCTGGTGGCATTTAAGCAGCTCCTGCTGGTGGTATCTGCTGGTGGTAAAACAGGTTGTTACTGGTTATTTTGCAAGTTGCACCCGTATCAAACTTCTGCTGGTGGCATTTAAGCCTTGATCCCCCCATAGCCTGGAGATGGTGCTGCTTATCAAAGGGAATCCATCATAAGAAGCTAACCAGTATCAACCTGTGTTTGTTGGCCCTGGTAGTTTGATACTCCTGAATCCAAGGGTCGTGAGAAACCAGGCTTTTCTCTCAAAAGGACCACTCGTCAGTTTTTTTTGTGGGGAGGTTAAACGACTGCTTGTTGAAAATGTTTAAAATGTTTGCCAACCTTTGTCCTACTCCCAAGCCAGCCTTCCAAAATGCCGTCCTTCCAAAATGCCGGGATCAAAGCTTCGGGATCTCACAAATTCCCCTCAAAGGGACCACCGCACCGTGGCCCAAACAAAATATTTTGGGCCATGGCTGCATTTGGATGGGGCTCATTTAGACCTTGTCTGCTTCGTGTTGGGCATTGCGCGCTTGCTTTGCAAAATGCTTCTAATTGAAGACGGGGTTCTTTCGATAGCCAATGCCAACCGAATAAGATGGACATCCATTACACTTTGGCATCCGGCAGCATCAAATCCGACGCCGGCTTGGATTTTTGTCCGCGGCCACACTGCCATAGCTTGAGGCCTGAAATGGAGAGATATCCCCCAGCCCTATTTATTGAAGGGGCCGTATGCCCAGATGTTTCCTGTGTGGGTACTTGGGAGAGATATGAACAACGTGTATGGAGGGAGGGTCTTGGCTGCAGGTTTTCCCCAATCATGGGGCATGAAATGGGGGATGGAATGGATGGGGAGGTTTCAGCAGCATTGCCCCGAAGCTGCACACTGAAGGATTGTGCACACAGAGACGGGGGTGCGCTGCAACTATGCGTCCTGGCTGTCACGGGGCTGGTGCCGCGCAGAAGGGTGGTGCCACTTGTTGTCCAACAAGCTGGACACCAGTGTGATCGTGGTGTACTCTGGTCAGGACGGGCTACGGCATGGCACGGAATGAGGAGAGCACCTGAACCAGATCCAGAGAGCCTGGACATTGACGTCACGTTCTTTTGGCATCTTGCGTTGGCTCCGCTTCTTCTGGTGCGCTAATTGGTTTTGATCGGATTATTTGGGTCCCCGCGAGTGATTGAAAGTGAACCAACGGATTTGTGTTGCATCCATGACGGTTGATGTCTTCTGAATGTCGCACAGAGAAGTCGCTTTCCCGCGGGCAAAGAAGCAGCGGAGAAAATGCAAGTGACATGACTCGACGAATCGCATATGGCAGCCAGTTGGTCATGGCCAACATGAAGAGATCCCCTTGATATTTGGAAGCTAATGGGAGACGAGGCATAGCACATCCACTCCATTGTCAGATGCCTTTAGAGCACATGAGCCCTTGGATTGCTTCACAGGATGCGAGTGAGCCGTGCTCAACACGCAGGCAGCCTTCTGGCTAAGCCAGAGAGCAGTACCATCTCGGGCATGAGGAACCATAGCCTGGGGGTGGGCTTTCTAATTCGCTAAATGTTCGGTCCCCCAGGACACTTGACGTGAGTTAAGTCTGAGCAAGCGATCAGTGCCGCCCTGCGCTGTTCTGATGAGTGCAGGAGTCAGAGTTCATGTTCTCCTTGAACTGGCAGCGGCACAAGATCCTGGAAGGGAACTTTACCGTGGAAGACGACCGTGCGGTGGTGGGCAAACTGGGAGAGGTTGCGCTGGACAGTAAGATCGAACATTTGCGGAGGAGCGCTTACCGCAACAGATGAAAGTTATTTTCAAGAAGGGAAGGGAGTCGAGAAAACTGGCAAGGTTTCGTTATAGGGTTCCTTTACCAAGTCAGGGGATGGTGGTGTGTCAGTGTCCTTTTTCACGACCAAGTGGGTGGAGATTGTTTCTGGTGTTTGTTGTGTGCGTGTGTACTATGAGGGACTGAACCATAAATTGCTAAAGTTTGGCTCCAACGATCATGGTTGAGTTTGGCTTCAACGTGCCCGACAAGCCGATTCTGATTATTTGATATTATTTGGACCCTAATACGTTGTTTGTTTGTTTGTCCAGTGTTTGCCCACCCCTCAGAACTTCCACTGAAAAGCGCTTCCTGCTTGGGCCACAGGTTCCGCCTAATTGGCCCCACCTAATTGGCCCTTCTGGGGCCCGAAGAAACTCACTTCGTGCTGATTAAACCAGGGGCGGGGACTTGAGAAAGGGCCGGGACTTTTGACAACATGTTCAGATGGTACACCTAGGCGCTTTCCTATGTGTTTACTTCCCCCCAGCAAGCCACAAGGGATGGTTGGGTTTTCTACCCAGGTGCTCGCACGCTAGCGCCATAGAATGTGAAGGCTCCAGTAGTGAAGGCGCAATGTGAAGTCATGGCCCCACCCACGTGTTGGCATTCCCGCGGTCAACAGCTCCAACCCAAAACCAGCCTGAACCCCAATCCAGGAGCTGATAGTCACTGGGCTGCATCATTTGAGCCCAATAGCGCTCACCAGGCCTTTGGTGTTCACCAAGCTGATGAAGAGGGAAATTACTCGTATGCAAATTTACTTTGCTCGTAAATTTCGGTTTGGGGGGTGAACTTTGACATGCTCTTCTTGGAGGACCGGGGACGTCACCCTGTACCGCTACTACATAGCTTTCCGCCCCATCTTGCTGGGCCAGGACTGAGATGTGCGCCGGCCAAGCGGCCAAAGGGTGCCCAAAAGGGCCAGGTGCAGGCCACGTTGTTGTTCTTGTGACCCCATAACGGCTGCAGTCCAGACTCGGGACCGCATGCAGTGATGTTTCACAAAGAAGGAGGGGACCGAGGATATTGGGCTGTTTCCCCCGGTTTCCTTTCTACACGAAAAAGGGTACCGCATTGTTTGCCTTTTTTGTGGTTGTGAACGTCACTTTCTGGGACAAGTCAATGTAAATGTCCTTTTGGTAGGGTGATGTTATGAGGGGAATGCAGGGAACCGCAAGGAGAAGCCCGATATGGACCTGGATGAGTTCATCAAATACTTTCACTTTGAAAGCATTGGTGCTGCCATCAATGACGGCCCCATGAACGGCTTGGTGTGCGCAGTGTTCGCCGGCAACGTGCCCATGGTTCGCCTCCTTGCCGAGCACCAAGCAAACGTAAATCATCGCTTGTGCGGCTTGGGCAGCCTTGGGTACTTTGATTCGCAGACGGTGCTCATGGCAGCAGCCAAGTCCGAGCAAATGCCAGAGATGCTCTCGACACTGATTGAGCTCAACGCGGACGTGACGGCAACCACGCGGGTTGGAATCAACTGCGCTTACCTGGCCAGATCTCCGGGGCATGTCCGAGTGCTTTGCGAGGCGAAGGCGGATTTGCATTCCACCATGGTGCCCACGGGCCTGACGCCCATTGCAGGGCCTGTCGTGTGGGCGAGCCCGGACACGGTTGCAGCCATGCTGGCGGCGAAGTGCGATCCCAATCCTGCGGTTGGAGGCGTCGGCTACGGGCCTTTGCAAGCCCTGGCCCTGCTGGCCCGGTCAAGACAGGACAACGTGCCTTGCAGTGCATGCTTTGGAATTGCGTTTCTGTGCGCTCTTGTGATGGGGCACTCCAGTATGTTGGTTCTGTGGGTTTCTGCGTGGTGTGCACAGGGACTCTCTTGTCCTTTGTGGGTATGGGAAAACATGAATGGAGGGGGGCTATGTTCACTCCATTTCCCAACCAGGGGGTGAGTTTGTGGAGGGAATGAGGAGACCACCTTAAAGTATGAACATGATCCAGGGATTAAGACGAACGTCCAGTTTTCCCCCTTTTTTTTAATATGTTTTTTTAAGGGCAGCACTTGTAACTTTGTCCGTGAGGTCACAGTGGCACGCATGCTTCTGGACAGCCGGGCCGACCTGGATTCCAGAGCGGCTCCGAAGAGCGTTTGGATACTGTTGTGCGGCGCTGCTCGCGCACATGCTGCGCTGTGGGGTACCTTGCCCAGATTGGAAAAGGATTCCGGTGATTCACCAGGCAAACCGGTTTTGCCTGGAGATTCATTCTCCATGAATTTCCTAGTAGTTCTTGTCTTCAACTTGCTTCTTTTATAAATCCGGTTGTTTTTGTTCCGTGAAGTCGCCGAAACCTGCTGAAACTCCTATATTCTGTTGATTTGGCACGTGCGATTCACTAATTTGTATTTTTTTGTGTTTTCCCCATCCAGAATTACCTGCAAAGCAAACAACGTGTTGGGGTTGTTCGCGCCCAACACGCCAGAACCACCAGACAACTTGCCGAAACACCTAGGAAAAGGCCGGAGCATGAATCTCCCGGTTTGTTCAGTCCAGCCCGGCAATGTCTTCAGCAGCAGCTGAGACCTCCAGCAGCCAGCAATCGCTCCATGAAAGCCCCGGAAGAAAGCTGATGCCCTTAGTCAGTTGTTCAGTGGCACCCCTTTTTCCTTTCTTTTTTTGTGGCTGCCCCACAAGAAAATGTCTTCCCCAAAAAGGGTTCCCTTTTTTCCCAGGGTCACTGAACAACTGAGCTTATCTGAAAGAGATGCTGGGGAAAAACATGGAAACGCTGGTTTGCTGGACAGAATCTCCCAGTGTCCAGATTTGTTGCCGGGAAGTGGTCTGGGAGTGGTTGTGGAAGTGGGGGGCCGTTGCCAGCGAGAGGTTTGGGCAACGACGGAGAAAGTGACTTGGGAGTGGCTGAGCATGTGCTTTCTCCGTTCAAGTGCTGCGCCCGGAAGAGTGCTGGGATGTGCCAGCCCTGCCGCCTGAATCTCTCCAGCACGGAACCTCACAATTTCTCAGCACCAGCCCAGGCACCTGACTGAGTGAATTGTCAGCACCTAAGCAAGGCACCAGTCACAGCGCCTGACCTGAAGACAAAGAACACCCCGCCAATTGGTCAGCACCAATCTCGGCACCAGCCCCACTCGCATCAACACCAGAACGCACCCCCAAAACCTCACTTTTCCCACCAATCAGCACACCTTTTTATCAACAACTTTGGGGTACGCCATTTCTTGAGAAGTCCTCTTCCAAAAGGGTCCTAAGCTTGACTTGCGCAGGGTACCACCCTTCCTGCGTTACTTCTAAAGTTCACCAAACTAGACGACGAGTGGCCCGGAAGCATAGAGGCAAGTTGATGCAGGTAAAGTAACTCTCGCCAAGTTAGCATGAGGAGTTGGCAGGCGAAGCAATTCTCAAAAAGTTGGCATGAGAAGCTGGCAGGTTAAGTAACTCTCGAATAGTTGGCTGGCAAAGTTGGCGGGTGAAGTAATTCTCGCAAAGTTGACATGAGAAGTTGGCAGGCGAAGTAACTCAAGAGAAAAGTTGGCATGAGAAGTTGGCAGGTGAAATAACTCTCAAAGAGTTGGCATGAGAAGTTGGCAGGTGAAGTAACTCTCGAAAAGTTGGCGTGAGAAGCTGGCAGGTGAAGTAATTCTCGAAAAGTTGGCACGAGAAGATGGCGCGTGAAGTAACTCTCGAAAAGTTGGCGTGAGAAGCCGGCAGGTGAAGTAACTTTCGAAAAGTTAGCATGAGAAGTTGGCAGGCGAAGTAATTCTCGAAAAGTTGGCGCGAGAAGTTGGCAGGCGAAGTAACTCTCGAAAAGTTGGCAGGCGATGTTGGCAGGTGAAGTACCTCTCGAAAAGTTGGCATGAGAAGCTGGCAGGTGAAGTAATTTTTCGAAAAGTTGCCACGAGAGGTTGGCAGATAAAGTATTTCTCGAAAAGTTGGCATGAGAAGTTGGCAGGTGAAGTAATTCTCGAAAAGTTGGCAGGTGAAGTTGCCACGAGAGGTTGGCAGGTAAAGTATTTCTCGAAAAGTTGGCATGAGAAGTTGGCAGGTAAAGTAATTCTCGAAAAGTTGGCATGAGAAGCTCGCAGGTGTAGTAACTCTCGAAAAGTTGGCATGATAAGCTCGCAGGTGAAGTAACTCCTCGAAAAGTTGGCACGAGAAGTTGGCAGGTGAAGTAACTCTCGAAAAGGTGGCATGAGAAGCTGGCAGGTGAAGTAATTCTCGAAGTTTCGGCATGAGAAACTGGCAGGTGAAGTAATTAACCCTCAAAAAGCTGGAGCGGCGGAGGCGCTCCGCGTGCTACATTTGCAATTTACAGTTGCGATTTTCCAGCCATTTGTATCTAAAAGTTGCGATTTTCCAGCCGGAGCTGCGGGAGCACGCTCCGCGTACTACGTCTGTACTTAAAAAGTGCGATTTTCCAGCCGGAGCTGCAGCAGCCTCCGCGTACTACGTCTGTACTTAAAAGTTGCGATTTTCCAGCCGGAGCTGCAGGAGCACGCTCCGCGTACTACGTTTGTACTTAAAAGCTGCGATTTTCAAGCCGGAGCTGCCGCGGACCAGGGGGGAATCGAACCCGGGACCGCGGGATTGCGAAAGCAGGCGCGCACACCACGAGACAACTTCCAAAAGCCGTTTCGCGAGCAAGAAAATCGCACGGCGCCACAGCGAGAGCGCTTCGACACGCACGATCTCCGCAGAGGGTTCATCGGGCTCAAGACAGATGCGCACGGCGCCACAGCGAGAGCGATCCGACACGCACGATCCCCGCAGAGGGTTCATCGGGCTCAAGACAAATTCGCACGGCGCCACAGCGAGAGCGCTTCGACACGCAGGATCTCCGCAGAGGGTTCGCCAAGGTCAAGACAAATTCGCACGGCGCCACAGCGAGAGCGCTTCGACACGCACGATCTCCGCAGAGGGTTCGCCAAGGTCAAGACAAATTCGCACGGCGCCACAGCGAGAGCGCTTCGACACGCACGATCTCCGCAGAGGGTTCGCCAAGGTCAAGACAAATTCGCACGGCGCCACAGCGAGAGCGCTTCGACACGCACGATCTCCGCAGAGGGTTCGCCAAGGTCAAGACAAATTCGCACGGCGCCACAGCGAGAGCGCTTCGACACGCACGATCTCCGCAGAGGGTTCGCCAAGGTCAAGACAAATTCGCACGGCGCCACAGCGAGAGCGCTTCGACACGCACGATCTCCGCAGAGGGTTCGCCAAGGTCAAGACAAATTCGCACGGCGCCACAGCGAGAGCGCTTCGACACGCACGATCTCCGCAGAGGGTTCGCCGCGCTCAAGACAAATTCGCACGGCGCCACAGCGAGAGCGCTTCGACACGCACGATCTCCGCAGAGGGTTCGCCGGGCTCAAGACAAATTCGCACGGCGCCACAGCGAGAGCGCTTCGACACGCACGATCTCCGCAGAGGGGTGCGTTTCGTAAGCTCCCGTCGGGCCTACCCCCGCCATAAAAAGAAGAAGAATTAAGAGTCGAGATGTGAAGGTAGAACAGAAAAGTTAGCTTGTGTTTTTAGGATAGTGAAGTAACACCCGACAAATTAGCTTGTGCTTTTAGTAGAATGAGATAACAGCCGAAAAGTTGACATGAGAAGTTGGCAGGTGAAGTAACTCTCAAAAAGTTGACATGAGAAGTAGGCAGGTGAAGTAACTCTCGACAAGTTGGCATGAGAAGTTGGCAGGTGAAGTAACTCTCGACAAGTTGGCATGAGAAGTTGGCAGGTGAAGTAACTCTCGACAAGTTGGCATGAGAAGTTGGCAGGTGAAGTTGGCAGCCGCTTTTAGAAGAAGAACCCTTCGCAATGCTTCCGGGAACAAAAACAAGCAACAAGTGTGGCCAGTCCAATCTCCCTTAGATTGCCTTGGTTCACCACAAATGCCTCAAACGTGAGCCCCCGAAAAAGATCTCAAGTGCTCCTTTTCCCTTTGTCGCAAAAGGGGAGAAAAAAGCTTTTCCTCCGGGTTTCCCCTTTTGCGGCTCGCGGTGACCGCAGGAATGGAGAACAGCTCCAGTCTCAAGAAGTGCCTGGTGAGCATGCCGGGCCTGAGCCCTTTGGGCGCCGCAGCCTTTGCGGGGGATGAGGCGAGGAGGTTCAGGAAGCCGATGCCTCTCGGGTATTTTTGTGGATGCCCCAAACAAGGCGACCAAGATGTGGCGCTGTGGGTCAAAAATCGGAAAACCCCAAATGGCTTGCTCTGGCAAATGGAGACATGGACTAAATCTGCGGTCCCCTGGTGTTTTAATGTTGACCCACACCCATGTTGCACTTGTTGGTTCAATGTGAATTTGCTTATTCGGGTGAGGCTCGTTGGTGAACTGAGTTTCGGAGGTTTATGCAATGAGAACCTTTTTGGGTCCCCGCTCCCTTTGAAAGCAGCTCAAAACCCTCAAGGGGTCCCAAACAAACCCTTTCTTTTGACGACCCTGCTGAAGTGTTTCTTTTTAATCCCCTTTCATTTAAGCTCCTGTGGATGGACGAAATCCTGTACCACCTAAAACATCCTGGGGTGATGCCCCCCCTGTAAATACCAGCAAACAATGGTTTGCTATGGCTTCAAAGTGGTGCGAACGGATTTCGTCCACCCACAGTATGCAATGGGTGAGGTTGACCCTGAAGTGGTCATGCCTCAGGTCGGGACCGCTTGTGGATTGCCGTTATTTACTTGAGCAGACAGCTAAAGGAACCCTTGACACATTTGGGTGTGTCTTTTTGGTTGTTTTGGGAAACCACAAGGAAACGCACCACTTCCTGATTTGCAGAAACCACCAACCCATGGAAACCAAGAGGAAACCAAGACGAAACCAACCAACCACCCAAGAAAAACTTCATGTTTTGAGAAACATCTCTAGGTCCCCCAGTAGTGCCCTTCTCTCCCCTTTTTTGGTGGGGAGGGTTCCCCAAAATAGACTAACGAAAAAAACTGGGTACCCTTATTCTCTCTACTGCAAAACCTACATCTCCACATCTGGTGGGTCAAAACCAACGGTACCATTTTCGGGTGGGTGCACCACCCATTTTAGAACCTATTTTAGTGGTTGGATTGGTTGATGTTCGCGTATGGGTTTTGGACCCATGGCCATCTGGGTATGGATCACAATTCAACCAGGGGACCGGGGACCACAGGTTTTAGTCATTCCCATTGACCAGCCATTTTGGGGTTTCCCTATTTTTTGACCAACAGCCATCTCCGGCTAACCAACCAACCACCCAAGAGAAACTGGTGACACACTTGTTGTTTTTCTCCGAGGAAAAGAAACCACCAACAAAAAACAAACCGACGGACCACCAACCCTCCGGCGGACGGCTTTCTTTTGCGCCAGGCGCTGTGCCGCCTCTTCCTGGACCGCGGCGCGGCGCTGGAGCCCAACTACCACGGCAGCTTCCCCGAGGACTTGGCGAAGCTGAACGGGCACAACCACCTGCTGCCCCTCACTCCTTCCATTTGCTGAAATGATATATATATATATATTGTTTGTTTTACTGGAAATGTTTTTTTTTTTAAAGGGGGGTCTTAACCAAATAGAAGACACCGATTGAAATGAGGCACGCGGCAAAAACAACTAAAAAGCAAAAACGCCAAATGACGTTTTTTCTACTCCTAAGGGTAGTGGTTGTTTTTTTGGGGGTTGGGCGTGTAAACGCGCCCAAACACAATGTCCTGATTGTTCAGCTTAGCTCTTTGGATTCTTGGTTGTTCTTTGCCTCGCAATTAGCTACTTGCTTCGATGCCTTTCCCGATTCGAGGCCCTTGCTCTCCAGATTCTCGGTGTGAGGAGCCGGGCCACGTCACTTCCACAGCGGTCATTGTGGCCCTCTTTCGCCCAGACTAGTCCTACCTCCCTTTGGGTGGTTCAGACGGAACCCTGATATAATAAACCATAGGAGTCACTGTAGACCTCATAGGACACACTGCAATGCCCTAAGCATAGTGACAACCGATTCCTGGCGGTGTGCCAAGTTTACTATGGTGCTTGGCCTTGAAATGCAAGGCATCTCGGTGAGTCCAATTGCGACTCTGTCGTGTTTTTTAGAATCACAAAACTTGTGGCCCAGACTTCGTAGAACCCACTGGCAAACTTTGCGGATTTGTTTTGCCATGTTTTGCCGCATAGTTGGCAGAATCCCATGTTACTCAGGCTTGCGCCTTAGTTGTTTGTCTTTGAATGGTCCGGGGTGATGTGCGCAACGTAGAAGGCCGAAGGCCCAACTTTTCGTTGGAGACCTTGAGAAGTCCATCCCCAAGGGACGGAGAGATGCAGAAATTCGTCTCACCTGTCAGACGATTGCAGTTGGCTAAGCCACGCTACAGACGTACTCAAAGAAGCCATGAGAACACGCGACCTGGTTTGATGTGCCGCGCGGTCAAAGAATAGAACCAGGAAGGGAGAGAGAGAGAATGCCGAATAGGCTGTATTAATAGGACCTGGCTGGGGACCTTGACATTTTCTGGGGCAGCTGAGTCGCACGGTTGCGCAGGCAGGCAGGCTGAGCCTTGTAGGGATAGCAGTGTATTTGACAGATGGCACAATCGCACAATCCCTGTACGTTGGGAAGTAAATGGCCAAGGGCAAAAATGGGGGGGGTTATGCAATCCGCTGTTACTCAACAATACATAATTTCGGCCCAGGATGAACAACCACCCGGTCGAGCCTGTCCAATTTAAAATTGGTGGCGGATCACTTTTGCAGGGCACCCCGCATGAATCCGCCAGTTTCTACTTGGATTCGGGGTCACTTGTTTTTCATCTACGCATTAGGGCGGTCGAGGGGTTGAGTTGAGCGACTTGAGCCCTTGGAGTTGTCCTTTCTTTGCACCGGCTGTCGGATGGCACGCATGTGCAGTCGGTTTCCCCATCTCAAGTCAAAGGCCCTGGGTGCCTTTGCAGTTATTGGCGAGTTCAAGACAAACATTGTCTCAAGCCAGCGATTTGGGGTACTTCAGCATGACGCAGTAGCTCGAGCATTTTTGGATGAGCGGCCGGAATGCTAGTATGCAATGGCCCAACAAAATGCACACCAGATTGAAGTGAGTGCGATGAATCCAGCACTGCAGCTAGCCGGTCCATGTCCAGGCTGAGCCTCACGGCAAACCGCAACTTTTGTTTCGAGTTGCGCCTTCCGTAGGAGCCGGGGGGCGGCCACTGAACCCACCCCGCCTTTTCTGCCAGTACTTGCCCGAAGCTTGGTTTGGCGCCATGGGGGCGCTTTGCGCACCAGAAGCGGCGCCCACAGAGCCAGCACATGAGATGTTCTTCCCCATGTACGTGGTGAAGGCTGTAGTTCCTCTTGGGCAGGGTTGTGGATCCAAAAGCTGCATCCAAACGTACCGTGGATTGAAAGGAAGGGGGTGGGACTAAGTTTCCTCAGTTCCCGTAAGGCAGGAACAATGAGTACCCGCAAACTTGCAGCATGCCTAAGCAACTGGAGATCATATAAGCAAAGTTCCAGCCACTCTTAGCGGCTCGGAAGAACGCCTTGATTTTTGTTTGATGATTCCAAAAGGAAAGCAGTAGCAAACCAAGTCAAACATGCTTTGCCAGATTTGCTTCAGAAAGGATGGTTGTTGTGACCCCATATTCGGCCCCATATTGGGTGAGCCTCGGTGGCTTACGGTTGAGAATGCCTAATCTGAAGCAAGCAGAATGCTGGGGCCACTAAGATTTGCAAAACTGAGACTAGAGGCTAACGTGCAAAAGAACAAGTCTTGACTGTCCTCAGCTCTGATGCTGAGCTGACCTAGAACCTTTGAACCGCATGCAGGGTGACATGTGCTGGACATGGCGGGTTCAATTTGGCTACCAGGGTGTTTCCTAAAATAGGGATCCTTACCAATTGACAGTCCTTAACATGAACTAAGCAACCAAGCTGGCGGCTTAGGCGGGGTTCCCCACAGATGTACAGGATACCCTCGAAACGGAAACACCTCCCATGTTCATTAATCATGGGTTGATTGATGCTGGCTTCCGATGTATAAACATGCGACAACAGCAGACGTGGGTATGTGTCAACTTAGGGTGACCCCGAAAACAGTGGGTTTCCCTGTTGGTTTGCTTCCGAACCTGCCTGGAAGCTGGCATGACCACATGAGGAGTTTTGGCTCAAGAAGTTGATTCACCTCGCCCATGTTTCCCCAACACCCGTGAAAGAGGGCTTCTTGGATGTCAGCCGGTGAGTAAATATTCTAAATTATACGGCGTTAAAGGGGACACAGAAAAGAAAACAATAATTTTGGACGTTCCCTTATTGAGGACCTACTCCAGCTTGAACGGATAAAGCGAGTATTAAAGGATCACTCGCAGAAGTGAACAAACCATGCAAGGTACACCCGCGCTCGTGTCTGGACATTAAGCTGGGCTGTTCAAAGGCAATTCTTTGTCCCCTCCTTTATGAAGGAGGCCCGTTTTCGTGGATTCCCCCTGCCTGGCCAGCCACGAGCTGTGTGTGTGTGTGTGTTTGCGTTTCTGTTTTGAGGGTACCCTTTTCAGGTCGGTTTCAAGCAAAACCACAAATCCATCATTTTCGGCGGTTTTGGTGTGTCTCGGCGTGCAGGTCAGCGACTTCCTGCAGATGGAAGGCCCCCCGGAGTCTCACTGCGCGCTACTCGAGAAGGGCCTTCTGCACCGCTGGCATCCGGATATGTTTGCGCACCTCGGCATGGACGACCCGGAAAACAGGGCCCCTTGAGGGTGAGAGTGTAATTATTTGTCATGCGCTCCCGCTGGGGCGGAGAGGGCGGTTTCGAACTCCAGTTTCCATTGTGCCCTCAAAGGTAAGCCCATGTCCTAGGGTTCCTCAAAGGCGATACCTACAACAGCCACCCTGATTTACAAGGGGGTCATCTCTAAATCAACGGGTCAAAGTGATTCTTTGTGTGGAGGTGACCTAGTTAAGATTTGCACCGGGTTTACTAGTCCGGGGCCAACATCTGTTTTCTGTAGTTTGATTTTCTTTTTCCGGACCCCGCCCCTACTTTCCAGCTTCCCCTTAATTTGTGCTTCGGCTCGGAGATTTGAACCCTAATTAGCTCCTTTCAAAACTAAATGGGGAACCGCCTAACTTCCGAACAACCTGTGTTGTGTGTTGTGTGTTGTGTGTTGTGTGTTGTGTGTTGTGTGATGTGTGTGTTGCGTGTTGCGTGTTGCGTGTTGCGTGTTGCGTGTTGCTTGCGTGCGTGGGTGGGTGCGTGCGTGCGTGCGTGGGTGGGTGGGTGGGTGGGCGGGTGGGTGGGCGGGTGGGTGGGTGGGTGGGGGTGTGGGTGTGGGTGTGGGTGTAGCTGTGGGTGTGCGTGCGCGTACGCGTGCGCGTGTGGATGTGTGTGTGTGTGTGTGTGCGCGCTCGTGTGTGTGGGTGTGGGTGTGTGTGTGGGTGTGTGGGTGTGTGGGTGTGTGGGTGTGTGCGTGTGTGCGTGTGTGCGTGTGTGGGTGTGTGGGTGTGTTTGCGTGTGTGTGTGTGTGTGTGTGTGTGTGTGTGTGTGTGGGTGTGCGTGTGCGTGTGCGTGTGCGTGCGTGTGTGCGCGTGTGTGCGCGCGTGTGTGTGTGTGTGTGTGTGTGCGCGTGTGTGTGTGCGTGTGTGCGCGTGCGTGCGCGTGTGTGCGCGTGTGTGCGCGTGTGTGCGCGTGCGTGCGCGTGTGTGCGTGTGTGCGTGTGTGCGTGTGTGCGTGTGTGCGTGTGTGTGTGTGTGGGTGTGTGCGTGTGTGCGTGTGTGCGTGTGTGTGTGGGTGGGTGCGTGCGCGCGTGCGTGCGTGCGTGCGTGTGTGTGTGTGTGTGTGTGTGTGGGTTCGTGCGTGCGTGCGTGCGTGCGTGCGTGCGTGCGTGTGTGGGTGCGTGCGTGCTTGCGTGCGTGCGTGCGTGCGTGCGCGGGCGGGCGGGCGGGCGAGCGTGCGGGCGTGCGTGCGTGCGTCCGTGCGAGGGTGGGTGGGTGCGTGGGTGCGTGGGTGCGTGGGTGCGTGGGTGCGTGTGCGTGCGTGCGTGGGTGCGAGTGCGTGTGCGTGTGCGTGGGCGTGTTTGTGCGTGTGTGTTGTGTGTTGTGTGGTGTGTGTGTGTGTTGTGTGTTGTGTGTTGTGTGTTGTGTGTTGTGTGTTGTGTGTTGTGTGTGTGTGTTGTGTGTTGTGTGTGGTGTGTGGTGTTGTGTGTTGTGTGTGGTGTGTGGTGTGTGGTGTGTGTGTGTGTGTCTGTTTTGTGTGTGTGTGTTGTGTGTGTTTTTGTGTGTGTGTGTTTGCGTGTGTTTTTGTGTGTTTGTGTGTTTGTGTGTTTGTTTGTTTTTTGTTTTGTTTTGTTTGTTTGTTTGTTTGTTTGTTTGTTTGCGTGTGTTTGTGTGTGTGTGGTGTGTGTGTGTGTGTGCGTGTGCGCGTGCGTGCGTGTGTGCGTGTGTGCGGGTGAGAGGGCGTGCGTTCGGGCGAGCGGGCGGGCGGGCGGGCGGGCGTGCGGGCGTGCCCGTGCGCTTGTGCGTGCGCGTGTACATGTGCCTGTGCGTGTGGGTGTGGGTGTGGGTGTTGGTGTGCGTGCATGTGCGTGTGCGCGTGCGTGTGGGTGCGCGTGCGCGTGTGCCCGTGCGTGTGCGAGAGACAGGATTTTGCAGCGGGCTTTCAGGATTTTCGTGTCTCACCAGTGGCTGGGCTACGCCCACCCAGACCCTGATGGACGACAAGTGGCCACGTTGCGCGCCGCACTCCGCGGAGTCATTGCGGGTAGCATCGAGGCGGGGCGTTTTTGACTCCTACTTCCGTGTGCTGAAAAGAATATGTTTGATCTTCCGCTGGTTTTAAAGGGAATCCATCACACTGCTGGAAATATGTTTACTTGTGTCAGGAGGCTTAGCAAATGTAAGCCTAGTAGTTTACCAGGCTACGGGCTGTTCGCCATCCTGTTCGACCATTGCTCCTTTCAAGAAATTGTGCTTTTTCTGGATGGAAGGATTTAATCTCTTCCCCCTAGTAAAAAATACGCCCCCCCCCCCCTATTATGAATAAATCCCCCCAAAATATGTTTTTAATTGGGTTTTTTGGGGTTGGGTTTTTTGCTTTTCCAACAATGTGAGGGTTCACATAGGATTTGGAGGAAATGGATTGAATTGTAAGGTCCGCGAGTAAGCGGTTTAATAAGGAAATTTGATGTATCATTCTATTTGTTTTTCAGTTTACTGGTTGTTTGTTTGCAGCCAGGCAGGTTAATTAGCCAGCATGTACGGGAGAGAGACAGTCGCAGCTGGAGACTACTGCGGGGGAGCCAGCTTTTGGGGAAGCAACCTTGTAAGGAATTCATTTTTTGAGGAAACAACCTTCTTAAAAGTGGGGCTGGAAGCTTGTTAAAAGTGCCCCCTAATAAGGATTCCAAGACTTTAGTATTGGTTTAGTATTGGCGCAATGGAAAATCAATTGTGCGGAGTGGAAATCTGGTCCCGGGCCCCGGATTTCCATTTTTTATTGATGGGGGTCATTCATTAATAGGGGGAGCGGATTACTATTCCGGTTGGTTTCGGTTCTGATCCAAATTGCCAGTTGAAAGCGCAAATGACGCCTGAAGGTGGAGGCAGATATTGTCACTGAGTACGCGCAAGCGCGATATCCCCGGCACTGGCAGCAAGCAATTGCAGAAGGCTACCTCTTTTTCGTGACTTGGAAAAGAGTCATTCTGAAGCTGTTGTTTCGCAAGCAGCACCCTTTTGCCCCAAAATGATCGGCCAGGGTGGCGATTTGTTCCCAAAAACTGGTGGCCGTGCTGAGATTTGCTCAACATTCGGGACGTCTCCACTGCTTGGTTGGTTTCCTGTTGAAACACACAATTCAACATTTATATCTTGTCATGTTCTGGCTGCACCCACCTTGCAGCATAGAGTCCACGGTGTGGCTCTCCTTCCGTGCTTGCTTCAAGAGAACATATACATAAGTTGCACAAATTGAGTTCTGACCATCCAAAGCAAAGGCCGGCGGACCAGACCTGTGTGAACATTACCTGTTGATGACAGCCAACCCGTTGATCCGATAAAAGGCCCCCCCAATACGCAAAGATCCCTGCCGGCAAGACGTTGTTTTTTTTGTTTAAGGGGGCCTCTGGTTCTGGAGGGCAGGTTGGAGGCCTAATCATTTTGGCTTGAGAGGGACAGCCCTTTAATGCGTGCGTTGCATGGGTGCGTGCGCACGTGGGTGCGCGCATATGTGTGTGTTTACTGCACAGACCCCAACAATAAAGACAACTGTAGATCCTAATTAAAAAAGGCGAAGGCGCCCTTTGGTTTTGTGGAGCTTTTGGTTTGAGGGGGATAGTCAGCCGGCTCGAAAGACGCAAGGCTAGGAAAGGAAACGCACCTGCGGGTCCCCCTAATAGGGCTGGTTTTTGTAAGCACGGGCAGGAAAATACCTACTTTAGAATTGGTTTAGTATTGGCCTGTTCTAAAAGTAGTATTCTCGGATTTGGAATTTCCGGAAACAATAATAATTATTAGGGATACCGGGATACCTTTACTAATAGGGGGACAGGATGAAGCAAGCTTCTGCATCCCCCATGTCAAACCATGTGCTTTGTGCGCTTGGGGAAGCGGCGCGCACTCAATCCCGAGAGACCTTCGCAGCCCGCGGGCCCGGCGGCCAGAGGACTGGTTTGCCATCCCGCAGATCACCGCCCGAGCGGCGGGGGTGAACGAAGACGCGGTGAAGTCGAAGGCTGCCCTGGCGGTGCAAAGCATCCCCGCCTACGTGGAGGCACCCGGGTTGATCTCCGTTTCTGGGTGGTTTTGCCGGGGGTTGGGGCGATTTTGTGGAAATCCATGGCGGTCAAATGGTTGGTTTCAGAACATCTCCTGGAAAGGATTTGTTTTTCGGCCATGCTCATTTGCAGATTCCACCTGGGGGTGACCGGACATGACGGATAACTCTTGAAGATGGTTGGACCCTCAACATGGGTTGTTTCCTTGTGGTTTCCCTTAGACATCCGCCGTGGTTGTGGAAACCTGCGTGTTTGGTCGCAGTCCGGGGTCCATTTTCGCAGTGACGAAGTCGTCATATAGTGGATGATGTGACGATCTTTTGCTCACCCCAAAAAGATCAACGGGACCTGGAAAGGCCGGTGCAGTTTGTTTTGTTCCTTTAGTTGCCACTCCCTTTTTCATTGCCCATCTTTTTTGCCTTCTCAACACCTTTTGAGCCCAGTTGGAGTGGTGTGAGACTCGCTTCCTTGAGGTGGGATGCTTCAAAGGACAACTCGCACCCTGAGATACTGGAATTTTGGTGGGAAGGCCATTCATTTTAGTTTCAAACAAAAAGTTTGGACTTGTTTCGGCCAACCTATTCAGGAAGTGACAGCTCTGCCTACCTTTCCAGGAAACTCTCAGGGGATTGGTGGGCTTGCCTTTCAGATTGGAACTTTACTCATCCCCATCCAAATTCCGACCACATTATGTTTGGTGTACCCCAGTTGGGCCATGATAAATAGAAAATAGGAAGCCCTATTTTTGAAGGAACTGCCTGCCAGGTGGCCAACATCTTTGTCTCGCTGGTGCCCTACCTCACACATGTGGAGCGCCGTGGCTACTTTGATTTTGGACGGCATTGACCTGCGGTAGTCGCAATGTGCGCTCGCTGCGGGTGTGGTTGCGTGGCGCTACGCACATGACAACACGCGGTGAACCTGAAGGGGAGAACGCGCACCACGGCAAACAGCATGCCTTCATGACGTTGCCACATGGACACGAAAACATCATGCAACTGCAATTGCGTCATACATATCGTCACAAGCCTTCCATCATGTCATGGCAGCATTCATTTGCCAATTCTACAACTAGCGCTGTGGGAATTGCAACCACGTTCTGTTTTGCTGAAAGGCATCGGTACCTTCCCGATGGCGAAGTCTTTACTTTCAGGGAGCCAGTCGGCCACTTGGCAATTGTTTGGGTCCCCTTGTTTTGAGACAAAATCCAACACGTTTTTCTAGCAACCCACCTTCCTGGACGAAAGCAACAACGAGTACCCATTCAGCACTTTCGTAGATCGTTGTAATCTATAGATGACCTGCCATGACAAAGTTGGCTGTCAGCGCTGGGCTGAACGGGGCTCACGGGTTTGACCTATCAAGGCCAAGCTGCGGACTCATTCCAGGTATCCCCAGCTGGGATGTGCGTTGGTAAATGATTAGCAGCCTGGCTGACAGATTGGGTTTCTGGTTAGAACCTAGGGTACAGGACACTGACTACAACTTACTTGTCAGCTGCCCCATACCGCTTATTGGTATATTGGTACATTTGAGCGATTTTGAGCCAAAACCCACAGCTGCCCCATGAAACTGACCAAGGGTCCATATGCAAGGACTGGCAAGCAGTGCTCTTACGCGTCTTGGGTCTCGCGCGGGTGGTGCCGTGCAGAGCTGTGGTGCCACGTGCTGGCAAAGAAGCCGGACACTCGAGTGGTCATCATCTACAGCAAGGAGGACACCAGGGTTGCCCATCTTGAATTTTGTACTTCGGGAAGCGTAGCCCCTGCAATTCCACGAGCGTCATTCTGCTTAACCCTGTGGCCCTGAATCTCAAGTATCACGCAGATCGGTTAATAATCGATTGGATCTCGAGCGCCAACTGTGGGAAATTGTGCATTCTCCTCACTGCTCCACAAATATCTATAGTGCCCTTTTGCCTTTTTTGGGGGGAGGGTTGCCCTACTAAAATAGATTACAGAAAAAAAGACATTAAACAAAAAAAAGAAAAAAGAAAACGAGTACCAACTTATTCTAACCTCCCTACTGGCCTAGATATGCTTGCGTGCTTGTGTGGCTCAGGGCCGCTGGGGCAAGAGCTGCAAAGACACAAGAGACAGACAGGGACGGCAAATATGGCTTCAAGGCCTACCGCTCCCAAGTCCTGGGTGTCCTGGGTGCCAAATCGCGAATGAACATATTTGTCCACAAGGAAACCAACCAGGGCATTTTAATTTCCCCAGATAGCTAAAAGCTATGCGTGTTCTAACTTGTAATAACCAAGGGAAAGTGATTTGCGAGATTGGACGGCAGGGTGCTTGAGGGGCATGCAGTTTGGGGTGCTGGCGCAGGTGCTGTGTGAAATAGTGACGGTGTGGGTGGTCGGGGGTAGGCTGTCGCAGGTGCTGTTTGAACTGTTGGGGGCCCAAGGCCTCGAGGCGGACCTTGGTCCGCCTCGAGGCCTCACGCTTGGGGGCACCTCAACAGCCTGAGTGTGAAAGTGGAGGTTGGGAAAGTATGTTTGGGGTTCGGGGTACGGCTGCTGGAGGTGCCAGTTACGGCGCGGACGCTTTGTGCAAGAGTGACGGCAGAGTGCTGGAAGCCATGCAGTTTGGGGTGCTGGTGCAGGTGCTGTTTTGACTGTTTGAGGCGCTGGACCGCGCGCGCATTTTGTCAAGACTGACGGCGGGGAGCTGTTTGGGGTGCTCTCAAGGTGCTGTGGGGGTTGCTGGCCGTGCCAGGGTGCTGTCTGGGGTCTATGCTGGCGTAATTTGATTTGCCAGACCCTTCGTTAAACACCTGGACCATATACAGCCGTCAAAGCTAGCCCCAAACAATCTGTGTACCCCAAAGACCGGGACATGGCTGTGTTAGACGACTCAACCAAAGGTTAGCTGTCTTTTCCCGGATTTTGGGTCAGGAGTTGGAGTTCATGTACCCCCTGCAATGGCAGCAGCACTCCATCACCACGGGGAACTTCACGGTGGAAAGCGACCGCGAGGTGGTGGTGAAGCTGGGTGAGCTGGCGCTGCGCAGCAAGCGACTCGCTCAGGCCTTCGGCTGTTGGGACCCATGTGGGCCTCACAAAAAACAACTTGGACTCGGAGGGAAAAGGAATTGCAACCTGTGGAAACTCATCGTGGAAAAGACTGGCTGGACTTCTAAGCTTTTTGGCCCACTTATGAACCGCAGCTTGCCAACAAAGATGCTAGCTTTGTCAGACTGCGTGTGTCCAGGCATGTTCACCTCGCTTGTTGGCGTTGGTTCGGGCACAACTTGCACCAGCCCGCATGCCGAATGGCGGCCAAGCAGGAAATTGCTACCATGGACCCAGCCCCTAAAAAAAATAGACACCATGTTTGAAGAGTATCCCTGCATACTTCCCAGGCGGTGGAAAGGCAAACACTGCTTTTGTTGTTTTGGGTGTCGAGACTTAATACTCGAGGGCTTCCTGCACTTTCAGCTGTTTGGGAAGATCAGTTAGTGGTAAGCAAACAGTTGGGACTTCTCTAATCCACTCACTTTGCCTGGAGCGTTCATTGCAGCCGATAGACACACTGACACATAGAAGCGAGTGTGGGAAGAGTCGTCAACAAAACGCGCGTACAACATGCCGGCACAGCAAAGTGCAAACTGGTGTGTTTTACGGGCCTTGAATCGCTGACGTATCAAGCGATGTTAATTCTTGAATCGCACATTTATCGTAGAACATGTTGCGAGCAGAAATTCGTAGCAAATTCGCAGTACATCAATGGAGGCAGGAGGTGATTGTGACTGGTGCCGGGGGAGGGGGGCGACTGGCGATCCAAATTTTTTGTGCCGGACAAGCAACGTTTGGGCAGTTGAGTTGGGTCCCAAGTGAACGTTTTGAGGGGTTAACAACATGTTTGGATGCTGTACTTTTACAGCATCTTTCAAAAAAGAAATAAGCACAAACAATGAGGATGTCACTTCGAGGATCCCGGCTGGAGGTGAGTTGGTGGCTCGCCACAGTCAGACGTTGGAGCGGCTTTCCGCCTTGCTCCCTTCTTTGCGTGCGTTGTGCCAGGTTGTTTTTCCCCCCCTGATTCTGAGTGCAGAAGCCATGCACCAAGCCCCCGCGCCCCCACCCAAACAGTGAGCTTACAGAAGAAGATCCTACCTTTTTAACAGTGAGGGGGTCGATTTAAGGGTGTTTTTTTTTGGGCGGAGGGGGGGGGGGTTCTCTGGAGGGTCCCTCTGGAGCAAGTCAATTTAAGTTGCTCTTTTTCTTCTTCTTTTCCGGAGAAAAATAGAGGGGAATTTCCCCTGGAGGTTCTTTTTTTTCTGGAGCCTGGGTGGTCCGCTTAAGTTTGAGTGGATTTTTCGGGTGCCTCAAGGGCTCTTGCCAAGGATTGAGTACCTCTCCAAAGCCGGGCCTTTGTCTCAGTTCCGCTTCTACTTGTCGCAGGCGGGTCTACAGTAGATGGCATTAGATGGCACTGTTCCAACCATTGGCCAACTCACCTTTTTTGGGTTGCGGTCAAAGGCAAGTTTGGAGGGAAAATTGGCGCATATCCAAAATAGGGCCCCCCAAAAAATGGTGGCTTCCGCTTTTGGGCTCCCTTTGCAAAAGACTCGAGGGTATCCCGAAGCAATGGCACAACCCAAAACCTCATTCAACCCAAGCGAGTATCCCCGGATCAATAAACCTCTGGTTGATTTTGATTGGGGGGTGTCCCCTTTTGGGGATTCAGACCACTTTTGGAGGGAACACCCCCAAATGAAAGAAACGGACGGGTTCTACTTAGATCCTGGGTCAACAGTAGGTCACCTTGGGCCCTGAGGTGCCAAGATTGCTGCAGGCGCGGTGCGCCAAAAGGGGGCTGGGCCAACGGGTTGACTTGATGCGTCCAGAGGATAAATAAATATTTATATATATATATATATATATTTGGCACGCGGGCGCTGTTTATGGAAGCCAATCCACGCTGGAAGTAGTTTTATGTGTTTGCTTATTTATTTATTTATTTATTTATTTGTTTATTTATTTATTTTTGTGTTTATTTGTTTATTTATTTCTATTTTTATTTATGCATTTATATATTTATTTGTGTATTTATTTATTGATTTCTTCATTTGTTTTTTTATATATGAAATATATATATATATATGATTATGTATGTGTTTATTTATTTGTATTATACATATATATATATATGTAATTATTTATGTGTTTATTTGTCTTATATATTTATTTGTGTATGTTTTATGTCTTTGTTTATTTGTCTATTTGTTTATTTATTTGTTTGTTTATTTGTTTGTTTATTTATGTATTTACTTTCTTACGGGTTGTCAAGCATAGGTGTCCTTTTTAGCTGAGTTTGGCTAATATCCTTTTCATTTTCCAGTGGAATTCATCCATGTTTCCAAGGGTCCAAGGGCACTTAGGTCCCGTGTTTGTCAGGGACAGGGACAGAGAGGTAAATCAGGGTTCCCCAGTAGGACGGCCCCATTCGGGGTACCGATTGGGCCCTACCAGCGGTTGGTGTAAAGGTCCTTTGCAAACATAGCCCCCCCCCCCCTCCCTTTACTTGGCTTGAAGCGTTTGTTCTTGTAGCGCGTTGACTACTTTTCCGCTGTCTTCTTGTCTGTCCTTCTTTGGCCTGACTTCATGCCCTGTTCGTCACAGGGAATCCTTGTTCTCAAGAACTACCCAAGCCTTCGTGCGCTCTGTGACCGCGCTTTCTTTGAAGACCTTCCCTGGGCCTGACCCCCATGGCTTGTCTTTCTTGATGCATTTTCAGTCAAACCCAAGGATGGAAAGCTATTTTGTAGGATCCCCTACTCAAAACCAAAGCTAGACAAGATGCCATATGCCTGCTTCGTTTTCCGGCTTCCCTTCAAACGCCATCCAAAGCAGGCTTCACGGGCATGTTTTCAACTTGGTAAGAAGGAATGCCTTTGACCATGGTGTGCGGTTTGCTTCACTTGGTTTGCGAGGCTGCCCTTGCACTTCTTGGAAAGGAACACCTGGTATTTGACTTGTTGTGTTGCTTTGCTTGATCTGTTTCTGGCCTTGCAGTTGGCAGGAGAAGAAGCGCAGGAGCTTGGAGGAGTTCCTGGCGGAGTTTCGCTTCGAAAGCCTGCAGCAGGCAGTTCAGGACACCAGCAGCAGCTTCGCGCAAGAGTCCCACCTCCCCCGGCCTCCCCGCCTCAAGGGAAACCTGTTTCGCTTCAAACACAAGCTTCTACCCCAGTTGTTCAACAGAGGGGCTGGGCAAATCCTAGTGCATAATCCTAGACGGCAGACCGCTACAAAATTCCTTGCATAGTCCAAGGAAAGGATCAGGTGCCCTTGAATAGCCGAAGAGAACTTGTCAAGGAGCTCATGCAAGCTTGCGCTTATACAAGCTTACCCGCTGAAATGGAGGTGAGGGACTTCCAAGACTTGAGGTTGTGGGTAATATCAATTCCCGATAGATCCGAAGGACCGTACGTCATCCCCCTTCTGGTCGGGAGCTGGGTCGTACAGCACAAGGCACGGATGCCTGGATCTTGCCCAGCTGATTTTGGTTGCAGGTTGGGTCACAAACTAGAGACCCTCGTCAAAAAAAATCCTGAAGGCCTTTTCTCGGTCATGAGATGTGTTGACATGGGTCTCCTTTCGCCGCGGCCGGTTTACTTTGTCCCGGGCTCCAAAAGGAGAGCATGTACTGGGACCTTAGATTTGATTGGGGGTTTTTGGGGTTCTTTGGTTGGAGTCCCGAGGCATGACCGCGGTGATGTGCGCGCTCTTCTCAGGGGACGAAAACATGCTGCGCCTGCTGGTCAATCAAAAGGCTGAGCTAAACTTCGGCTTGAAGGGCTTGGAAGGGACTCCTGGCTCGAATCCATGCTTGCAGTTGTTTGTGTTTTTCTTTGTGGGCGGCGTGCGAGTGACCTAAGCCCACTTGTTTGGGGCTGTTTTAAGGCACTGCTGCAACGGGACCTCTTCGCCATGCGTTTCGCCCGGTTACCAAGCGAGTAATGAAAAGGGGGCTGGCAGGTATCTCATGTCATGATACATTTGTTTTGCATAGTATTATGTCATGTTATTTGATTGTATTATATATGTCTTCTTTTATGTTCTTATATTATTTAAATACATACTGTGGGCGAAATCCTGCACCACTTTGAAATCACGGTTTTCTATTTCCAGGGGGGAATTCTCAGAGGGTGTTTCTGCGGTGGTGCCTAAGAGGATCTCGCCACCATCCACATGAGCTTGGCTTTCGTCGTTTCGAGGATGGGGTACTTCGACTCCCAGACGCCGCTCATGGCGGCGCTGAAGTCGCAGCAGGAGCCGCGGCTCATCGAGGCGCTGCTGGAGCTGCGCGCCGACCTCAACGCCGCCTCCAGGAGCGGGCCGGAGGCATCTCCCGCTGACAGGTCTAGGGGATTCCTGAAACAGGGCTCCTTAAAAAATACCTCTTGCCCATTTGAAGCATGGCTTTTTCCGCCAAAATGCAGGGAAACCACCATTTACAAGGCAATGTTCAGGTGTATAAGGTAAGGATCCCTGTAAAACTGGGGTTTCTGGTGGTCATCAAAGTCACAAAATGGGGGCGTTTCCCAGAAACCCACCACTTGCGGGGTGACTTTGATCATGGTAAAACAATGGGGCCAATTGAACCCCCAAAACACAAATAAAAGCAAACAATCGTGTGGTTTTCCGTTTGGTCTCCCCTGAAACCGCCTCCAAAACGGTACAATCAGAAGAACACACTCGTAAAGGAACTGGGCATGTTGAATTGGCTGCCCTTTAGAAAGCACCCCATTTGGGCTTCCTCTTTGGGTGTGGTTTCTTTCAGGGTTCCCTACTTTTGTTACGTGGCACCTTTTGCACAGCCGTAAAAGAAGTGTCCAACGATTGGCGCGCGGAGAGCGAGCCCATGGCCAGGAGCCCGAAAGCTTTGGGATGGCGGCCCCCAGCGGGTCCCACCCGAGGGTCCCGATTCCTTTACGCCAAGTCGACGGCATTCAGGACCGGCATCAAGTGCACTTACCTGGTGCGGACGCCAGAACACGTGCAGGCAACCTCGCGCCAATCCGCAAGTTCATTCAGTCTTTTGACACTTCTAGACCACTGGTCAATTCTTAGGGACCCTTGGACGGGCATCCTATACATGCGGAGTTTCGTGTGCCAACAAGTTTCGAAGGCTTTCACCATGACAATTTGACATGGTGCAACCTGTGTATTAACAAGAAATATGCTTACTTTCGGTGCTACCAACAAGTTGACAACTTCTAGCGTTGTGGGGGAGAACATGTGCATGCTTGTGTGGCTACAAACAAAGCCGACCGCTCTGTTGCCAGATACATGCTTGAATATCGTTGTTTGTCTTGCTTCTCTTTATGGCCAGTATCAAGCCCCAACATAGGTCATTGTCCGCTGACCTGCAAACATCGATGGGTAAAAATTGCACACCCACCAGGTGGCCATTTGACTTTCCATTGCCTGGGCCCATGTTTTTGGCTGTTTCCAACGGCAAAGTCAGAAGCTGGAAATGGAGCCTTTGCTTGGGGTAACTTTCATGATGGCCAACTAGGAAGGTGAGTGGCCGGCGTGTGTTTGTCCAGCGGCTTGATGGCAGGGTTTGTGGAAGCGTTCTACACGGATCAATGTGGGAGAGAGAGGGAGAGGGCGATATATATATATATATGTGTACATGTGTGTGATTTATACATTGACCGAACAAGTTGCAAGACAAACCGTATTATGATTCAAGCTATTCAGCTATTTACAGTAAGCTACAAATAGTAGCCACTGATCAACTTAAACTGTTTGTTTACTCATCAGGTGCGATGCCATGTCATGGCTCCTCAAGGAAGACAACACCCACCAGTAGCTGTTTTTTTCAGCCAAGCAGCCAACCTATTTATGCAGCAAGCGAAGAGTGCTAGCGCATTGTCTGATGTTGGGGGGGCAACTCACGCCATTGACACGCTTGCACCGACCGAAGAATCCTCAAAATTGAGCAGGACCAGCCTGCCACGGATCTAGCCTCGTTCCATTCATCATGCTGCCAGTATTTTTCGGCTTTCAATCTGCTGATTTATGCTCTTGGATTCCACCTACCCGAGCCCTGGGGCATGCCGTTGGGTCTATTTTGCAAGCACAGGGTCGCAAAACCTCGAAGTGCGGACCCAGGGCACCGCTCGTTTTTCACTGACACAGCCAATTGGTGAAGTGGCTGGGGGGTTGCCAAACATCTGGGAACTCCTTTTGAACCATAGTTTGGTTCTTGCATGGAGACCAAGAGGAAACCCTTTGCTGACTGTCCCAGAAACAACAGCGCCCTCTTTTGGACGCACCTTGCATTGTGAAAAGAGGGCACCAGCCGGGGTTTGTTCGATTTGCCCTTAGCACCAGGAAGCCACGGCTTTTCACGTCACCAGCCGGCCTTCGCGAGCCACCCGCGACAAGCCGCCGTCAATCGCGCCGCGAGGTGCTCCTCAGCGCGCGCGCGGACTTCAGCGTCGGGGGCCCCGCGCAGCTCTCGCCGCTCACCGGGGCCGCGGCCTTCGCCAACGCCGCCACAGTGAAGGCACTGCTGGACGTCAGGCCGCGGAAGCGCAGAGCTCTTGAATCGTTTTCTCAGTTGTTTAGTGGCACCCGTTTTCCCCCCCTCTTTTTTTTGGTGGCTGCCCCACTACAATGGTCTTCCCCAAAAAGGGGTCCCTAGTTTTCCAGGGTCACTGAACACCTGAGTGTTTTTTTTTGTTTCTTCCGAGGGTATACGGTATGCCCTTTTGGGGGTTTGTTTGAAAGGGGAACCAAAGGAAAACCAGGCATCTTGGGACAAACCTTGGGTCAACGTTTGGTACCATACAACTTTGCCTGTGTGCCAAGTTTTCACGCCCCGGTCTGAGGTTGAAGGTTGACCAACATGTGGCCATGTTGTTTTGGCATGGGCCGAAAACAATTGCACAAGCCACCTGCGAGTACGTTTTGATCCTGGCATTCAACCTCTTTTCCTCTGGGTGCTAAATTGCAGCCAACATGTTTGATCTTCCCCAGAGGAAATCAAACAAAGGAGATATATATATATATATGATATATGATGCTTTGAGTTTTGACTTGTGCAGCAAAGTGGCAAGGGCGAGAAATTGCCCTCGTTTCAACACTTCTGGTGCACTGCTCAAGTCTTCGGCCCCGCTACCCTTCTGGAGAGGAAAAAGGGGCCCAGGGGTTTTCCCCAGGTCAAAGCGCCTTGGCACGGATTGCTTGCCCTCGAACCCAACCAAAAGGGAAAGAAAAAGGGCTCCACCGACTCCAATGGCTGATTCAGAGCCGGCCCGCATAGGTGCGTAGCCCTTTTCTGGCCAACGAGTGAGTCAAGAGTCGAAAAAAGGCAAAAGCAAGCGCTTGTGCCCGTTGTGTTTAATTTATCAGCTCACGTGGAGGGCGGGGGTGAGGGGGTTAAACGGACTCAGGCCTCATGACGTGTTTCCGTTTCTTTCGTTTCGAATGACAAATCCTCAGTTGCCAGAGGCGCCTCAGCCCCAATCTTGAGTGGGAGGAGGTCAAAGCCAAAGGAGCACAGGGGCCCTGCAAATCGGGAAAATTCAGGGTTGATCCCATTTGATTTGGCCACATGTTTAATTAAACATGTTTCAGGAAATGTAAGAGAAGCGCGCTCTTTCAAGTTTCTCCTTTCTGGGGGCAATGGCCTTTGTGCCTGACTCCATGCAATGCCGCGGTGTGTCAGTTGTCTGGTGTTTTTCCCCTTTGACCTCGCAGATTGGTTGCCTGCAAAGTTGCACGCTGAGTCTGTTTGTCGCCCGGGCCAGATGCGACCCGAACATCCTGCAGCCCGACTGCGGCCGGTTCTTGGGCTATGGGCCTCTGCACGCCGCTGCGATACATTCACGCGAGAATGCGGAGGAGCGGGGATCAGTGATAGCCAACCATAGGGATGGTAGTGGACCGCCCTCAACCTCTGGCACGCAGGGTGGTCGGAATGAGCTGGGATTCTTCAACCACTTCTGCAACAGCAGGGGGCCTTTACCCCCTTGAAGGAGGGACTTGTTGGCAATTCCGTGTTGCCAGTGCTAGCTACCTTTTCCCTCTTGTGCATTCGCTGCTTGTCGGTGCCCCCCCCAAAAAAAAAGAAAAGAAGAAGAAGACAACATTCGGGTAGGGACGAACCCTTCTCCTAGCTTCACTTTTGTTTGGGAAAGAAGACTAGGAATTCCCTGAAGATGATCCGGCATGCCCGGTGTTCTCTTCAGAGTTTCAGCAGCTTTCCGTACTGTTGCTAAGCACTCTGTGTTGGAAGCTCGCCAGTGTCACGCGCCTCAGGGCCCGCTTACTCTGCGATCATAACTTCCCTCATTCCCAAAGCCCTGTGCAGCCTGAGCTCGACGCATGCCTACCATCCAGAACCAATGCGCCAGCAAAAGGACACCTTGACCTGCGTTTTGCATATTTGGGTGCTCCGAAAAGATCTCTTTTCAAGCATCGTTCTCTTCAAAAACCGGCTGATCCCCTGTGTTTTTGGCTGGTGTCCTGTGTTTTTTGCAGTAGAGAGGTTAGAATAAGGGTGGTGCGCCTTGTGCAGCGCAGCTCGAAGGGCAGCGCTTTGACGTTGTGTCCATCGGCTGTGGGGTGAAACCGCTTGGTCTTCTTTGCTTCTGCGGCCAAAAGCAACGAATCAAACTTTGTGCCAAAGCTGCGGCCTTTTTTGAAGATGTTTGAAACACAACCCAGCATGGAACTATTTGGACACGTCTTAAAGTGCGGGGTGGGGGACCCCCAAAATGGTGAGTGTCCCAATCCTTTTTATCAATCCAAACAGGCTACCCTTGGCGATTGTCCTGTTTACCGCCACTCAGCATTTGTTGTGTAGGCCGTTGAGATTGCCAAGCTCTTGCTGGAGCACAATGCGGACTTGAACCTTCGCCCACTGGGGGAGGAATTGGGACCCCGTCCAAATGATTGGTTTCATTGGTCATTGTGTGACTGGTCAAACAAATACCTTGTGGAAAGCAAGGTTCAATTGCATCCCCATTGAAGCAGTACTGCTTGAAGACCATTCGTGCTTTTACACCGCCCTTCCCAACCGCAAGGTGAAGGATTTACTGACAATGGAGGGGAATCTATGCCGTGTTTTGAGTGCAACAAGGGTCCCTAGATCCGAGTGCCATTTGGGGACACAGGAGGAACCCTAATTAATTCATGCTGCTCCTTTGTCCATTCTCAAAGGGCGCTTGAAATAGTCTGGGCACCATTTGGGCCAGGATCCACCTGCCCCAAGCCCTGTCCTTTCCAAGTATTCACGTTGTGTTCAAACCTGTGGTTCCCGTGCAAGCAAAATGGAACTCCGTTTACATCAAGCAACAAGTGAAAGCCCGACAAAGCATTGAGGCTTGTCTTTTCTCAGGCTGACAGCACTCCATACGCAAGTCTTCCTCTGAAACGGTTGTTGACCGTGATGAAAACAATCTTGACCAGGGTGCCCTCCAAAAACACAAAACACATGTATCGGAGATGGCCCCACCCCAACTTTCTGCGAGGCGGCTTTTACCATCCTTGGTGTTGGTGGGGAATTGTCATGGTAAGTACCGGGTTGACTGTATTTTCCCCTTTGGTAGTTGCAGCATCGCCTTTACACCAATCTAAAGTGTTTCGACACGACGTGATTGCAACCTAAGGTGAGTTTCCATTTGGCGGTGCGATGTTTGAAGGGGAAATATCGGGAGCCCGGATAAGTGGGGAAAGTGGGGGGTTGTCCTCCTGAACCGACGCTTTGGCCACATCTCTCTCGGCTTGGCGTTAGGAGCCCTGCGAAAGGGGATCCTGGTTGTTGCAACGGGAAACATTGGACACATCTTTGCTTATTGTGGTTTGAGTGGTTGAAATCCAACCACTTAACTGCTAGAATTTAAATTGTTGCTCCCCTTCCAACGTCAACCAAGCCCTGGTGTCATGTTGTGCCGTCCGAAGAGGGTTGCCATGGCTCCCCACATGTCTTTTGTTTGCACAGCACAGGTTTGCAAGTCGGAGGATATTTCCCCACCGATTCGTAAGCAGCTTCCTCGTGTGGAAGCTTTGTTGATGTGCGAGAATTATGTGATGATCTTTGCTGACATTGCAAAACCTGTGCCGCCCGATTGCGCCATGGGCTGCAACGGCCGGAATGGGTTGGCTGTTCAACCCCAAGGTCTGTTAATTCCCCCCCCCCCAACCTTGTACACAAACGGGCGTAGGAGTCGGAGTGATTCGGACGCTACGGCGTCGCGGTTGCTACAGCGGTTACCCCAATGTGAGGTCCGCTCAAAGTATCCACTAGTTGATCAAGATGGGAGGCACATGGGGTACTCCTGGTCGGATAACGTTGACCATTTTCGTGGCTCACGTGACCTGAATACTCGCCTGCTGTTTGTTTTCTTCTTGTCTTTTTTCTTGGGTTGAACGCCATCAAATACTGGGTGCTAACTGCTCTGCTAACTTGCCCAGAATACGAAATTTCCCAAGCAAGTGGAAACCACATTGGGGTGGGGAATCTTTGACGCTTTTTACTTTTTAGTCGCCCTATGTCGCACCACATTCAGAACTCCCGATGTGAGGAATGCGCGTGCGAACCCGAAGGGCATTCTTGCCCCCGTCTTCTTCGTGGTTGGCCAAATATACGGCAGGATGACTGGCTTGCAGAAAGCTTCCCGTAGTGACGCTTGCCTGCAAGGGGCAGGGACAAGAGGTCCTTTTTTCAAAACTGAAATGCAATTTGCCGAATAACATTAGCTTCGCATTAATCCGGAGGATCATTTCCATTATCCAAGGAAGCCCGGAACAACTTCATTCTTGTGGCCTATACGGCTGGTAGTACCGCACCCCTGTCACTGCGCCCGGTTGCAACATGTCCGTGCCCTTGCTCAGCTTGAGCCATGCAAAAAATATTTCAGTGGCGCAGCCTCAGTCCCAGTATCCTGGGTTGAGATGGGGGAGGTCCTAAACGACGGGACATTCTTTACTGACGTTCAGCTGTTGATGTTGGGTGATTCGGACCCTTTGCGGATTAAAACAAAGAACGCACAAGCAAACGTTGCCATTTCAGCTGGCCCTCCCAAATGGAACAGGCCCCCTTCAGAAGCAAAGTAGTGTTTCAAGGTTTTCCATGGTCTTCCGAATGGAGCTCCGGAGCCGAGGTGCTGCTGATGTCTTCCCTGCCGGGGGTCACCCCCTTGGGCATCTTGTCCTGGGCCGGCAACGAGCAGATGGCCCGGCTCCTGCTGGACCACGGCGCAGCGCGGGCCCCGGGGTCCCGGGCCCCGAAAAGGGCCCCAGAAGGGCCGTTTTGGTCAGAAAGATCTCTCTGGGTGAATTATAACGACACACGACCTCACCGTAACTGGTGGTTTATGTGGGGAGTGGCCCCCCAACCACCTTATTTCAGGTTGGTGAAATATTATAATTTCACCTAGAATCTCTGGAGGCATGTGGCATGCAATAGGACCCAGAGGCCAAACTTGCTTTCACCTTGGTCGAGCCAACAGTTCTTATCATTGTCTGCCCGGGGTTGGGCGCCCCGGTTGGCTGGGGACTTCAAATGTAGTAAGTTGTGCAGTGTGTGTTCTGGGTTTGTTTCTTGGGTGGCGTTCGAGAAGAACGTAGACTCGCATCTGTTGCATCACGCCCTTGCCCGTTTACCATCCAAGCAGGGGGCCTGTCTGCAAACCCAGCCCCAATACTCACACTTGGTAGTTTCGGAGTGTGAAGCTCTGGTTGTTGTCTGGAGCCACTTGGAACCCGTTCACCTTCAGACGACCAACGGCTAAGGGGCAGCTAAGGAAAGCCTTGGAGCAGTCCCAGTGCAAGCCAAGCCCTTGTGTTGAAGAGTGCGGAGGAGGTTCCAGGCTTCAAAAACAGAAATCCAAAGATTCTCCCCACAAACCCAAGAACATCGGAGTACAACTTTGCTCGCAGTTCTTGTGAAAGGCTTTCTACGCGCATCATCGCGCATCTGTTCGTGGATTGTTTTTCTGAGGAGATGCTGCCGAATGACATGGGCCACAGCCCCGAGGACATGGCGAGACTCACGGGGCAGCTTCACCTCTTACCGCACCTCGCCACCTTCCATGTCTGACGCGCGCCAAGGCTGGCAGAGATACAAACAAATCGAAGAAGAGATCATGGGGAGTTCCGCGCAAAAGCGGGGCACTCGCAATGGGGATCCAGAAGGGAGGTTCTTCTGAAAGGTAGGTCCTTAGGTCTTGTTTGGGTTCCATTCCAATCTGTGGGAGTGCATGTCCTGGCAAAGCCCTCGATTCCCAAAGCTGGTTGAGGTGCTTGAGACTGGGGCTCAGGGTTGGGCACAGCCCAATCTTGGCGAAATGCCCGCCTCCAATCAATAATCAGCCTTTCCGTCGCACCATACGGAACGAGGCTTCAACACGCTGAATCAGCCTCGGTCGTTTTGTCCGTTTGCCGGCGACCTGAGTGAACAAGTCCATGGCTACCAGCGAGTGTGGGAGAGGTCAGGTTTCCTCTTGGACGTGTGCCGCCAAAAAGGACGACGTCTTTGGTTCGGGGCCATGTGTTGATGACGCACACCTCAGAGTCTTGGTATCTCTTCGGGTTGTGGCGCTCCTTCAAAAGGGCCCAAGGGCATAGCCAGAATGGTTTTGTTCTCTGGGAAGCCACAAGGGAATGGATCCAAAACCTGGTGGAATAAAGGTGGGTTTGTCCCAATACACCAGGGGAGCAGTTAATGCTTCTTCCAAACCCTTCCATCCACCTCCAGTAAGCACACCAGGTCCCTTTAAGATGAGAACTTGTTTTGCCGCGACCTCCAGTCAAGTTCCATGGTTGGCAGGCTTCCAATTTGTCCAGGCCTGCCCAGAGCCTTTCTTCGTCCCAGCCAAAGGCTCAGGATGGAGCTGGAAAACCCACGTCAACGAACCAGCCCTGCCGGTGGAGAGCTCTGGGGCCGATAAAAAGTTGCGAAATCAAGCGCCGCCAGCCTTGGACAGTGGCGAGATCAGCACCAGCAGGGCAAAAAATGGTGACAGCGTCAGAGATGTTCACTTCAGCAACAGAGGCTGATGGACGGAGCAAAATCAAGCTATCTCGAGTCAAACCAGAATCCGTTATGTTTGCTCGCAGTGGGAGGTGAACAAATGACACAACGGTAGCTGTGGTATTGCGCTGCTCGTGAACGAGCCGAAATTCGGGCAATGCAGCCGAATACAGCCTTGTGCGGCTCAAAACAGTTCAAGGATCCAGCTCTTGCTCGGCGAGCAAGGCTGATGTGCCTTGTGTGAGGCTCGCGTGAGTCTCGCTAAAACCAGAGGTTGAACAAGCGCAACAGGTAAAGGGAGGTTTTTGTGTTGTGAGGACGTTTGGATCCAACCCAGCGATCCGAAGGCTGCTTGAGCCATTGCGCCATGGGGAGCTATCTTTGCAGGGAGACGGAGAAGCCATGCGAGCAAGTGCATGAAC